TTAATGAGCAGGACCACAAGTAATGCTTCAACGTACGGTGAATTTGTGAACACTTCGGGCAGATATTTTCGACTAATAGGGTGAAGTTCCAGAGGTTAAGAAATAGGGCACATACGCTCTATGTAGCAATTTGAACTGGGTATTCCTCCAGGTCTCATTAGTGACCACATTCCGTACTTTGGTATAGCCAGTAAGCAGTTTCCGAACTACTGTATATCAGGGTCATCAAACTCTTTAGCCCAGTACATGGCGTTCGATTTAGTCAAAGGTGGAACATGCAAAGTTTGGAGCTTAGGATGTACAGTAGAGATGGAATAAATTTTATAGGATATTAAGACATCCAAAAATGAAGAGGAAAAAAGTACATTTAGGTCCCTGGAGAGAGCCTTCCACATCTTTGTACCCTGAAAATAGTGTAAGAAGTGGTGTGAAGGAATATGATAACACTCAACTAGAGCCTGGAAGGAGCATGGCTGAAAAGTGTTAGAATGAAACAGATGTCTTCACATCCGCAGGTCTGTCCACTTCGGCCGAATACCAGGGGGGAGGGCCAACATTTTGCAAGGAAGAATTGCCTTAATATCCCAGGGAGCTACCATTTCCACCTCCATGGAAGTATTGGAAAATTTGGAGCTGTCAGATAACCAATCCATCGCGTGTCTCCAGAGGCAGGAAGATTGTACTGTTTATTATTGGGAAAATTCACCCCACCCTCACCCTTAGGGAGCCAGAGTATCTTAATAGATATCCTAGGACATTTAGATCTTCAAACAAAACAAAATGTTTTTTTTTAAAAATAAAAAACGGCCCGGAAAGCATCAAAAACGCGGCAAAACCCACTGCACTGCGTGTGCAGAAACTCATGCAGATCTGCTGTGCATTTGGTGTGAACAAGGCCTAAAACTAGATTAAAACTAAGTATAAACTGTTATAATGACAAAAACTTTAACGAAAATATATTTACATTTTAGTCGACTAACTAAGTGGCAGAAGGCAGCCGAGTGAATAACCGACCCGAAGTGAAGGGTGCCGAACGCCGTTTCATCACAGTACATCGGCTGGCTTTGGCTCCCTTTGGTTCAGCCAAACAGTTAGACTGAGCTGAAGTGAAGAACACGTTCGCTTCAGCTGATCCAACATCTGGATTGGCTGCGGCGAGCGTACGGCAGTTCACTCATATTCTCATAGGGGCCGAACAGCAGTGAGTGAATATCTAAATGCTGCTGAGCAGGTAACGAGCAGAATAAAAACAAAAATGTAAAGACAAAACCCCCAAAAAACAGCATTGGGTCCCCCTCCCAAACCATACCAAACCCAAAGGGGGAATCCCATCACCAAAAAACAAAAAAAAAGTGGGGTCCCCCCTAAAATTCCCAACCTGACCCTTAATCCAGGCACTGGGCTGGCAGGGCACAAAAGGGCGAGACGTACGAGTGACTCACCCTTCCTGCGCCATTTTAGGCCACATGTTCTCTGCATTGGGAAGGTACTTTTACAGGGGTCCCCCCCTGGAAAAACACCCTGTCACCATGCCGATGGGGACAAGGGCCACTTCCCCACAACCCTGCCTTGTTGTGGGGGTCTGAGGGCAGGGGGGCTTATTTGCATCAGGGTACCCCCTTTTTATAAAGGGGGTACCCAGATACTGCCCCCCACTTGTGAATGAGTAAAGGATAGTTATACCCCTACTCATCCACTAAAGGGTTAAATTAAAATGTAAATAAACACACCAGACTTGTAGAAAAAAATACTTTAATTGCACAAAAAACACAACCAAAGTTTTTGAGTATTCCTTTAATTAAAAAAAAACACAAAACAATGAAAAAAATGATCCAACAAGGTAATCCAGGGTCAATCACGTCATCCAGCGATATCCACGATGATGCCGACTCGTCGCATTAAAAAAACAACAACTTCCACTGCAAAATAAAGGTGCCCACTGAATGACAACAAATTTTTTTTATGACAACAAAATTAATTTTATTTTTAACTTGGGGGGTCCCGCCTAACATTCCTACCAGACCTATAGGGTCTGGAATGAATCGGAAGGGGAACTACTTGTTTACATTTTGTGGGGAGAACGGTCTGCTTCGGCAAACCGTTTGTCCCGCTTCAGCTGTGTCTTTGGCTCAGCGTAGCCAAATGCATATGCTTCGGCTCAGCTGAGCACTTCGGCTGCTGTACGGGCTACTGTGAATAGCCCGTACTGCAGCCCTTCCGTTCCGCTGAACCGAAGGGCTTCGGTGGCCAAATTGAGCTGAAGAATTAGAAAAAGCTTCGGCTTAATCCTTCAGCTCAATAGTGAATAACTCCCTAAAACTCGACTAAAATGTTAGGGAGAGACGATTTGTCAAATTGCTATTGAAATGTCCTAGCCAAATGACAACAAATGGGCGGAGCCAGCCAGTGATGTCTCAACTAGCTTCACCCAACTGTTTACATTCGGCAGCAGCTATCAAATTGTTCATTTTGACAGGTGTGGGAGTGTGCGGTCGGGTTGACGGCGGGCTTTAGGGGGGAACCCCACGCTGTTTTTTGTTACATCTTTTTTTTATTCTGTGCGCTACCTGTGCACAGCAGCATTCAGCTATTCACTCACTGCTGTTCAGCCCCTGTGAGACTAGGGGCAAAGAGCAGTGATTGAACTGCCAAAAGCTCCAACATCTGGATCGGCTGAGGCGAACGTGTTCTTCACTGCAGCTTAGTGAATAACTCCCTAAAAGTTTGGATCTGTACTTATTTTTTTGTCATGGTGACAACAATCACCAGTGCAAACAGAGGATTGAATCTCCCCAGGAAGGACAAATACCTCAATAAAACCCAGGCAGGAGGACCAACCCTTCCCACCCTATCTACACCTAAAAAAATAAGTTTGACTTCACATACACATTAAGTAACCCTCTGACCACCGGAAGGAAACCCAGCTTTCAAGAGGAAGATGCTTAAACACAGAAATAAATGGGGCTCCTGTGGGACATGCACAAGGGAAAAAGTAAGCCGACTGGGATATTTTCTTTGAAAAGGCGGTGCGGTGCTAAACAGGGTTGCACAATAAAGATCACTTTAACAGGAAGGAAGATAAAGATAAGAGATATAAGATATTTTACCAGGTTTGCAGCACTTGGGAGGGAAGGGGTAGGGGTGCAATAAAGGTAAACACGTTTAGTTTTAATTGTAGATAAGAATATCATATAGATAATTTATATAGATAATATTATATAGATACTTTTAAATAATTAGAAATACACAAAAAAAAACATTAACAGAGTTTTAGCTAATTTTAATTTGTATATCATTAGATTAGGTTTTCAAGTTAGAATTAGAATGATTTAAGGGTCAATAATCTTCACTATAAACATATATTTGTGTACTTTTATTATTGATAGAAATCCAAATTTGTCATGAAAAATAAATTCAGATGGATATCTTACATGATAAAAAAAAGTTACTGATGGCTAGTTAGCTGGCCAGCTCTGAAAATCAAAGCTCTGGTCCTGAAGTAGTTAAGTAACATAGCAACTTGGGCTTAACAGGAGCATGGGTTGCTTGGCACCGAAAGTGAAACCGCAGTAGGTGGAGTTTTATGATCTACATTGAAACAAAGTCCAGCAAAGTTATGATCTACATTGATACAAAGTCCAGCAAAGTAACTAAGATCTGCAGTGTTTGAAGCAATAGTAAATGTAAACTAAATGTCGGACTAAAAGCAAACCTGTACATTGTTTAACCATTTGACGACCGCGGTGTTTACACTTCCTTCCTGTCCAGGCCATTTTACAGTATTCAGCGCTGCGGTACTTTGACTGACATTTATTCTGTCATGCAACACTGTACTGAAATTAATTTTATACCATTTTTGGGGACAGATAGAGCTTTCTTTTGTTGGTATTTAATCACCACTGGGGGGTTTTATTTTTTACTATATAAAGAAAAAAGTACCGAACATTATGAAAAAATAAATGTTTTCTCTACGTTATGTTATGAAACATTTTTTATTACCCAAATATCAAGCTTTAAAATTGTGCGTGCTCGTGAAATCACAAAAAACGACCATACCCAAAATTGGCCACAGACACTTTAAAAGCTTTTACAGCTCATCCATTTAGTGTTAGCAGTGATTGATGGCCCTAGAATGATTGCTCACACTTGAGCTTTGCAGTGATATGTAACATGTGTTTGTGTGTGTATGTGGGGGTGGGGAACTTAAAAAAAATGTTTGTGTTTTTTGTGAATTTTTTATATGTGACTTACATTTTTTTTGTAACTGACATTTTTTAAAAACTTTTTCTTTTCACTTAACTTTATTGTTATCACATAGAGCGCTAAGAAGCACATTATGTAATATCAAATTACAGTGACAGGTCCCTTTATGGAGACATCAGGTCCCTTTATGGAGACTTCTTGGGCCTAGGGATGCCCAAAGAAGTTGATGAAGCAGAGATCAGAGATAAAAATAAGGATATGAACTTGAATTGGTAAAAAAAGATATCGTAAACCTTTGACCCTTTGCCATCTATGTAGCCTGGTAATAATTTTAAAAGAAAATGGCTCTAATTTTGGCTAAGGTAAGGCCTTGCTTTACTAAAGGAGGCTAACATGTTGTGTTTTCATTAAAATGCCCAAATATATTTTAAGCTTGAGTTTGTCTTTGCCTAAAGGAACACAAAAGAAGGCCTGTGACCTAGAAAAGATATGCAAACCTATATTGACAAGAATTCCCAGCCCTCTCTGCATTCATGGACATGTTTTACCTGGCCAGAAGTGCTGAACAATGGTTGTCATGTCCTTAGCCAACACTCCCAAAAATTCTGATCATCTAATCATTCTAGTCGTAGAAAATATGAAAAAGGGACAGGGAGTTTAACTTTTTTTTTACTGTTTCCAAAAAGATCAACACCTTTTCACAATGTGTATCTCCATTGGTTGAACAATGGGGCCAAAAGATACACTCCAAATCCAAACTCTCAAACTATAGTTGCCCAGATCTTATTTGGATTTACCATGGTCCTCCACAGTGGGGCCAAGAGCTTCCTCGTCTGGCTCCCTTTCCTCCTCAGGGGCAGGGGCTGGCTGTGTAGCAAACAGCCCTTTATCTTTTCCTCTTTTCTCCTCTTCCTCTGAGGAGGAGGACAGCACACCGCCGCCACTGTTGATGTTAGTCCACAGAAGAAGAGTAGGACTGCACCACTGCAATTCTCCTCCACTGCCCTTCTGACCAGCCATTGTCCTGATATGGCTAGGAAAGAACAAAAGGTGAGAATGAACAATATGTAGCTGTCATTGAGTATGTAGGTTGTAAGTTACAGAGAAAAAGAATAACAGAAATAAGTAACAAAGGCTAGATGCTAGAAGAGCTTGGAAGCAGATAGGTCTAAAGCAGATGTGAGCAGGCCAAATGCTATAATTACAGGCTGGATGTCTCCTCTCAACATTGCGGAGGAAGTTTGCATTCCTCCGCTTCATGTCACTTAGCACTGTTGGACAATGGCCAAACAGCCTACGTATCTGTCCAACAGCTCCAAAATGTTCTTCTTTGAGAATACTGACATAAGCAGCAGTGGAGAAGAAACTGAAAAACACAATAAACAAAATCATGAAAAAAAAATAGGTATAATATTATTTTATTTATATGTAGACAAGGCAGCAATATATAGATCTATGTGTATAAAGAGTATAGAGTATAAAAATATATATATACAGGAGAGAGAGAGAGAGAGAGAGAGAAAGAGAGAGAGAGAGAGAGAGAGACGATAAATAGACACGAAAATGGAGATGTGGGTAAGATTTAAGATAACTAGGGATTCACATATACTAATGCAAAACAATAGCAATAAAACCATGCCCGAGTGCACATAGAATTACATCGATATACAGAGTAAATGTAATGAAAACTTAAGTGTGCCTGCGTGTACAGCACGACCAGACACGATGATGCATTTTCGGTTCGCAAAGTTTGCACAGGGGCTTTCTCCATGCGTTTTGTGGATTCGTCTGCACATGCATTAGGGGTTCATAGGTGCTTTTGTCGGAACTATTTGGTGCTAAAAGGAATTAAACTATAAGGCCTATACTTATTGTTCTACATAATGTAATATGGGCATCCTGGAAGCCATATTTGTTATTTATATTCTATCAATATATAAGCTGAATTTGAGTTTCATGGTTTCTGGACAAAGACTCTAACATCAGCAATTCTCAGAGCCTTACCACATACATTCCCAGATTGTAAATTATGGGGGTACCAGATAACGACAAGACAAGGACTGACCCGAGCACTAGACTGTGCAAAAACTGAGATTGATGGAATTGTCATGTCTCAGGCTTAACAAAGGACAAAAGAAATATTCACAATTTCAATTGTATTATTATTTTTGCATGAAGCATCTAAATATTTGCTTAATTGAGTAATTTTATATTTTTGTTTTATATAAAATATTCAACCTATATACCTTATATATATTATTTAGTTGTACTTATTGACATATATTAGTATACAGTATATTATTAATATGGTGTTTTTTTAAAAGTACAAATAATTAAGTTAGATATATTGTTATTTTTGTAATCAGTAAACAAAATGTGAGTAACCACTGACTTCATTCTCAATGTATGTAAAATTTAATTGTTTTTCTTGCTCAGACTTTCTCAAGCTATACATCTCTTAAAGAGACTGACAAGTTCTGTCAAGATAGAAAATTATCTTTTACATTTTATGGACTTAGGTCAGACGTCATCTCATAATAATAATATTGGAATTTTAAGGAAAAATCCAAAATTATTCCTAGTCCAACATTGCCCTCTTCGGATAATTACGAGAAAATGTAAAGAAAACTGAGAAGTGTGTGACATCATAATTAGGTTAAGATAAGCTTTCTCCTCCCACATTTTTCAGTGCTAAAAGTTAGGAAAAAGTTAAGTAAAAGAGACTAGAAAAAAAAGAAAGGATATTCAAGAGGACAGACACAGGAAGGAGAGATCTGAAGCTGATGGAGGGGCTGCCTGGGGGAACTGAACCAAAGAGAACCTAAACATCTCTTGTCCCTACGCTGACACAAATCTGATATCTTTATGACAAAAGAATTTTAAATTTTTGGTAAAGTATAGACTTCTATTTATCTGTAGGCAATTGACTAGCCATATATATCTTACTAAACCATTTGGTCATTGTTAGCATCAGGATTGAATTGGAGTAAAATGTAATCTGCAATAAAAATTGTTTCCCTTTCAATCTCGGTAGAAATATTTATTGGAGTCTCCTTGAAGCTGATTTCAGTTTCTAGTCAATGGTTTAGGTTGTGATATGTACCTAAAAAATAAAATAACTTATTGGAAGTTTATCTTTACCTCAAATAGATTCTTGGCTGATAGCCAGTCATGTGCATTGTATTGTGAGTTAGTTCATGCGCAGTAGAACTTTGAGCTTTTGAACATCTGTTTGGCTGGGAGAGGTCATGTGTTGAATCTGCACATTATTTTGTCACATTCTGTTGAACTACTGAGAGTTTTGTTTCATTAATATTTGAAATTATATCCTGTGGTTTTATTTTTATTATGTGGTTTTATTATCTTTGCTGATCCATATTATTGCAATTTTAATACATATTCTTTATTGTCACTAGTTATATTTTTATTTTTGAAGATTAGTAGGGAATCTCCTTAATTCCAGAACCTTGCCTGTTTTCATAAATTGCATACTGTTTATTTTATCAGAATAAACATTCTGACAGTTTATTTATTACTTTTTTTCTTTTAATTTTTATTTTTGTGCACAGCTGCTAGACTACGAGGGAGAGAGAAAGAGAGAGAGTGTGTGTGTGTGAGAGAAAAAGAGAGAGAGAGAGAGAGAGAGAGGCCTTTATTTGTAAACAATGCCACATATCTCCTTTTATGCATCTTGGGTGTTTTTTTGGAGTGTCAGTAGCCTACAAACAATTTCATTACCCATGCCAAATATTTGATAGAACTGATTGCTGATGGGTACACCAACTAGCTCGCCTCTCCCCCCTTTGTATACACCAAGGCAGCATACCTGCATTAGTGCCATTTACAAATTGAAGAAGAAATATTCCAACCTCTTGTTATAGGCAAATTATTTGAATAAAAGCATTATCAAGGCACATTTGTGTGGTGGTGTTCATATGCTTTTTGGAAACAATGTAGTGTATGCAGAATATATTGCAAGATTGTACAACAACCCTTGTCTGGTTCATATATCACTGTAGGCCAACATGCATAATTAGATAAAGCTAAAACAGGGAAACAAACTAACGCAGGCCATACATTATGTTCAGATAGTTCTTTAGGAACCAGATGAAATTTGCACAGTGGGTGTCGCTGTCGGCACCCTTTCGACCAGCATCCCTTGATCAGCTGATTGAAGGAGCCGGTTGGAAAATCTATGAGCGAACAGAGCTGTCAGGTGCGTAGCTGTACTCAAAGACCTTCGTGTGCACATGGTCAAGCACCTATGCCAGGACAAATGCACATAGTGTAGATGTTGCTCACGTTGATAGGCCTACATGTTTGGGCCTGGGATTACATAGTTAATGCACAGGTGTATGAGCTAAAGTAAGCACAGACTACCTATTTAAACCTGAGTTTCACCAAGTGAAGTTGCTGAGTGGTCATCACCTAACCTGTGTGCTTCTCCTGTGATTTGACCCGGCTTGTTTTGGAAAGAGTACATGAAAATAACAGGGGAGGGGACATTAACGCAGAGGTACTTAGGAGGGAAACCAGATGGATACACACACTGCGGGTGACTAAGTCTCCAGGCCTAAATTAGGTTATAAGTTATAAACCATTCCTATGCCAAAAGTAAAGTTTTTGATTTCTTTGTAACAATTATAGATTACTGCTATACAATATAATATTTGCTATATAATATGCAAAAATGATTTGTTAATGAAATATGGTGTATTCATCTCTTTATCTAGGAAAAAGTATGCTCATTATGTCTTTGAAGTGGTGTTAATGGCTGTGCCCGCTGTACTGCTGTTTGATCATGGGCGCAGACGTGGGGGGTCTTCACATAGGGGTCTAAGAAATGGTTGGATACCTTAGATTTTTTGCATATTTGTGGCCTTGTCTCCCTTAAGACTGACTAAGCTTGAATAAGCTCTGAAATGCACCTTTATTGCTGGAGGTTAGAGAAAAGGGTTAATCCATTCGATTTGGATGTCTAATTAAATGGGACTTCCTGGCAGGAAGTGACACATTTTTTGCAAATTGATGTTTTTTGAGATTTCTTCCCCTATGCGCATGCGCTTCAAGTCTCTTTTTGCTACACCGGACGTGACGTCATAATGGCGTTTTGGCGTCCGGGGAGGAGGGATATAAAAGGGGATGAGGGGTTTGACACTCTCCGGTGGTTGGTGGGTGGTAAAGGAAAGAGAATTGGTTATATCTGTGGTAAGAAACAAACTTATGGAGACTTTTGTTTTTTGCTTTGACTAGATGAACTTTTGTGAAAAGGCCTTAGAGGTCTGTGTGCTTCTCCTTCTTTGAAGGATTTGCTGCTATCTTGGAGTATAATATTGACTTGTTTAGAGGCTGTGATTGGAGCCCAATTTATTGGTTATAGAACGTACACCGTTGATGGGAATGGATAATGTCAGGTAATGTCAGGTAACACAATGTTGCTATACAATGAGTGATGAGTGATCTTATTTGTACCAACCTGGGCAGATCACCTTATTGTCTCTTAAGGAGTGTTCATTGTTTTTTCATAGGTGTGATATATTGAATAATAATAAGAATTTTTTAGATGTCTTCATCTAATAAAAAATATGGCCTCTTCTGAACGCCTTTCACTCTGCAGTTTACTGCCTTGACTTGGGGGTTATCTTGCTCTCTACCCCCTTTCTTTTTGGTCCCTCCCCGTCCACCCCCATGATTGACTGATGGTCAGTGGTGGATCCAGCTATCTCTATAGACTATTATAAGTTCATGGAACTAAACAAATTGTATTTCAAAATTTTTATTAGTTTCCATCTTATACAAAAAAAAGTTTGATACATTCAAGTATCATATGTAGCACATTAACATATCAGATAGGTCTATGGTCTCACCACTGTATCCCCTCTCCCTCCCTTGGCTCTTGTTCATGCTTTTATGATTTCTTTAGCTAGAAATCATTCTGACCAATGAGCATCTATTTCCTATCAGGGGGCTAGTGTGATAATAATTTCCATCTTACCATAGAATGTGACAGGGTAGGGGCTAGAATCGTCGGTCTTTTTCTAGAGGTCATCCATTTCAATAGTTCAATAGAAGTGCCCCTGGCTGAGCCAATTTCTATTTTAGCCCAGTCCGGAACAGCTGCCCAGGAATAGACGGAGGATAACTGTGACATCTGTGCAGCCCGGTAATAGAAGAACAGATTAAGAATCGCTAGGCCCCCCTGAACTCTGGATTTAAATAGAATAGATTGTGAAATTCTAGGATGTTTATTGCCCCAAATAAAATTCATGATAGACGTTTGCAATTTGAGGAGTTCAGCCCGTTGAATCGGGATTGGTAGGGTTCTAAAGTAGTACAAGATTTTAGGGAGTAAGGTAATTTTAACTG